ATTGGGCAGTATTTGGTAAAGGCGATGCTTGTGTTCCCATGCCTGACAAATACTATTCCTGAATAGACCTGCTTGTCAGGAATACATGTGTGCCCATACCAAAGACACAGAAAAGAATATTTATGCTATTCAAAACTGGACAGAGCCCAAATGTTGACAATAGCAGAATAGATGAATTTTTGTTGTATTCACATAATGATCTACTAAATACCTGTGAAAAAGACTAACACCGCAGCTCACAGAACACTGTAGTTTTGTACCCAATATTGTTTGAAAGCAAGACTATGTCACATAGAGCTACATTTACACAGAACGCAATGGCAGTAGTCACATTATTGCTACCTTTATGGGGTGGAATGGAATGATTGAGAGACCGATAGAGTTTTATGACTTCATATACATGGTAGACATTTGGAACCTTAACCAGATAAGGATAATGAGGTGTCCACTTATGATTTTTCTTATGTTTGTATTTTGATATTCTTTAAAGGGGGGCATTTAAGACCTCTATTTAGTATGGCAGTACAATGAGAAGAAAGAACAACTAAAAATCATCTCATTTCTTAGGAGCTCAAGGTGCTGGAATGAACTCTCCAAATCCAGACTGATTCATAGGACACACACTAAGTAAGATCCTGGTTTCCTATTCTGGGGAGTTTCAAAGCCTTGAGTTAATATGGGATTTAGAGATAACTTGATATAAGGTGTAGAAGCCTTGAGGGTGGGGCTAAATCCTAAATGTAAACTTGTCTAAAAGAAAGAAAAAGTATCACTGTTATTTTAAAAAAATCAGAAGAGGGTACACCAAGGATTGGCCTGTCAGAGAAGAAGCCTTTCCTAGAAGGGCTTTTCTTCAGCTGAACTGGAGATCTCATTTCTATTTCCTGCTTGTGTGGATGTCCCCACCAGATCAGCATCCAGAAAGAGTCACCAGGGGACATCTTCAGTGATTTATTTTCACAAGAAAACGATGAGCAGCCGAGAAGCTAGGAGCAGAAGATGCCTGTTTCCTATCTTAGCATCTTCTTTTGCTGTTCTATTAAAAGATTTCAAAGGGAGATTTTTGTCTTAGGTGGAGGCAATGCCATGTCCTCACAAAAGGACAAAGTATTCTCAGGTTAGGTCTATTGAGTTGACTCTTGATGAACATTTATATAGATCTTCTCTCAACACAGAGACGTCACAGGGAAAGTGGCATGTATCCAACCACAGCTCCTATTCTGCATCTTCTGTTTCTTTGATTGGCCTCTCTCATATGACAAGATCTCAGGATCCTTTCTGTTTACAAAATCAAGAAAAAGTGATCAAGTTTGGAAAAAGTATGATGAAGTTGCAGCAAAACCTCTAGCGACTGGAATCAGTGACTGACGGCATCTTAGACTCTCCTTTCTGGAGCATGGAGTACCATGAATCTGTAAGACTCAGATGTGATGGAGGAGGAAATGCTTACTTTCTCTCACTGACAATGGCTAGGTGTGCAGGTAGCTGACCTGCCATTCCTCTAGGAAGAGTCTAGCCAGGGCCATGCTTCTTTGAAGCACACAGGATGCCCTGTGGGTCACAGCCAAGTGTGTCAACTTCATCCATCTTGGATGGATGCCGTGGCATGCTAGATCTCAAAGCCCATACACTCCATAGAGTTGTGCTTTTGAAAACTCAAGATTCATTCATTTCCCCAAGTAATTGGGTGTGCAGCCTCATTCTATATAGATAAGATTAAAAAGGATCATATAGAACCAGTTCTTTCATCCTCAACAAGTAATTTTCACACCTTGTGATGATTAGTTAAGCATGTAACAAGATAAACACACAATGGCCCAGAGACGCCACAGGAAGCCATCATGCCTTTTCACAGAAGCTTCTCAGCAGCCTCACCAAGCCTGTTGGTCATCTACGGTTGCTTTAGGTTCATGGTAAGCAGACAACACAAGCACAGAAAGACTGAGTAAAAAGTCTGCATTTTAATTTAATAACATGGTTATAATTACTATTGATAAAAATCCACATAACTCTTGACCTATCAACAGAAGACTCCAGTACTTTTTCACCTCTTCTCTGGTTCAGGCTTTGATTCCCACCCCTCACCTGAGGTTCAAAAGCACTCAAAAGAGCCCAGATCCAGAATCGGGCTTCTGTTAATTATTCTTTGATACAGGCAGACTTCCTTCTACCTTTAGGTCAGGTCTTTCCCCATTTGCTTGGCACATATGGAAAGTCCAGTGTCCACCTCACTGCTCTGAGTACCTGCTGGAAGAGTTGCCTTTTTAAATATTCTAAACCCATCCCCCAGTTGGAGAGTCGCTGAGGTCTCCCCAGCTTGAGGAGCCACTGCCTCTCAGCCCCCAGTCTCTTCTGCCCTTCAGGTCTCACAGCACTTAAGGCCTTGTCTCATCTGGCTCTTAACTTTCACCTGCTGTTCCTAACACCCGATCCGGTCAGATCTTATCTCCCAGGGTAAACTGTCTGCTCCTAGAAAGAAGAAACTAGATTCCTATCTCCCACTGCATAATTGTCCCAGGGGCCTGGCTTGGCTGCTTTATGTCATGGACTCAGAATGAAACTGTATTTGTCCCTATAAAGTTAAGAGCAGAAAGATAAAAGAGGAGCGGAAAGGAGGGAAAGGGTAACTTTTGTACAGACCTTGTGTAAAGGCCTCTCAGTTACTTTCAGTTATCTGTACCTTGAAAGGGGGAGATTCTGATCTAAAAGGAAAGCATCCAGATAGGGCTTTCTCTCTTCCCGGAGAGGCATTCCAGCAGAGTGCTTCTGGTCACCTGTGTTTTGTCCTCTGTGACAGGGAGGGATTTGTCTGCCAAAGTCTGAATACCAGCTAACATTCCTTCCTTTTTCCTGTAAACTCTGCTGAGGTATCTGAAGGCTAAGGGCTAAGTCAACACTAAGCGGTCACATGCTGCTACTAGCTGAATATGTCCTCCAACATTCCTATGCTGTAGGCATTAAGGGTGGAACCTTTAAGAAAGCTAAAGTCCCCATGGGCAGGCTTGGGACATCTATAAAGGCCTTTGTAAGCTGTATTCGGTCCTTTCCATCCTGCTTCCATTGTGAATACATAACACTGCTCTCCCCCAGAGGTCAAAATAAGAAGGTACCATGTTAGAAGCATGGCATCAGACACTCTCCAGACCCTGAATGTTCTGGACTCCTGCTGTTGGGCTTTATTGGCCTTCAGAGCAGTGAGAAATGAATTTCTGTTGTTTTCAAATCCCCGAGATTCAGAGAACATGTTCTAGCAAATGGCAACAGTATCAGAAGCCAGCTGGCCAGATCTGTTCCAGAAGGAGCTAGCCCCGAAGCAGATCTTTCTGGATTTGTCCAGAGACACTACTGACAACTGCCAAATTTTGCTGCATATTGGAACCACTCAGGGAGCTTTAAAAAAAAATCACTGTCCTCAAATCCACCCCATGCCAGAAAAAAATGTGACATCTGGGAGGGTGCCTGGTAACCAATGTGTCCAAGCATTTACTAGCTGGTTGCAACGTGCAGCTTTTGAGAGGCAGTGGTGCAGCAGGCCCTTTAGCAACCAATCCAAATGTTCATCCTGTAGTGCTAATGTCAGAAGATGAAAATACTGACTTGTTTTGGATGAAGGCAATACCTGTAGAAGGAAACAGGACAGGGCCTGGTTACCAAGGCGGCTGGATAGCTACCTTGTGATTAAGCTAGGCTCTCTCCTCCTCATGTCTTTATTTTCCCAGGTAATCTTTTAAGGCCCCCTGACAGCACTACCTAAAAGTAAACAAGAAGACTCTAAGTGAGATGTTTCCATCCTAGGAGGTAAAGTGGCTTCTAATAGTTCTCATGCTTGACTGTTCATCTGATGCAGGGACCAAACCTCCGAGGCCAGTTCAATGTGTGTAGAGCTGTGGTACGTGATGTGGCTACATCTGCTCACATGGTGCCCATTGGAAAGGTAAGTTCTCAGGCTCAGTTTGGACCTGATGGATCTGTTCTGTAGGTGACTGAGGGAGTGGGGTGGTAGCACGCACCTCTTCTGGGATAAGCCACAGGGGCAGTGGTCACACTGCACTTTGAGAGACACTGGAACAGGCTGGGCACAAGTTCTGCAAGTTCTCTATATACTTCTGGAAAGTTCCAGGAGAGTCTGAGGTTAACGGCGTTAACTTGAGGAGCTGCCCTGTCCCTTATGTAGTGATGTCCTAGCTCTCCTAATTTCTAGTCTATCACGACAAGCAGAGGGGCACTCTTTGGGCTGGGTATGAGAAGTCTTGCATTATGTTGAAAAATACTGTGTATAGTGTGTTCGTCCTTTTAACACATCTGAATGAAATCAACAGTGCGAAGCACTCACTGCTAAGACAACTGTCTATGGACTGCCCCATATTCCTCACCCCTCCAAACTAAAACAGCCAATTAACCATGACCTCACAGACAGCCAGAAACATCATTTTCCCTTGCTAGGCGGAGAGACGTGGATAGGATATGTCTTCTTTTTCAAATGAGCCTTTTGGTCAAAATTTCAAGCTTCAATTGCAGTCCATCTCGACCTTGAAAGAGAGCTTTAGCAGTTTAAAAGGCTCAAGGTTTTTTATTTATGCAGCGATGGCATTTAGAAAGCCAGCTTTCACACAGTCTCAAAATGTAAGTCTGTGGCGAGACGGGCAATAAATGAAATCTTTACATGAGCATCGATTCATCCTTCACATGAAAGAAGTTACTATGGATGAAGGCTTCAAAGAGTGGCAAACAGGCTGCCCATTCTCTACTGTTCCACACTTGGCTCACCCCAGGGCAGAGAAGTCTCAGTTACCTCCTGTGGAAATCCAAAGATGCTTCATGAGAGAGGAGGCAATCTTATGAGTCCCTTTATATATGAAAGTCTTTTAGGATGAGTTCTGCACATGTGTAAAAGATCTGCCAATAGACCTAGACAAGAGGGGCCCTTGTGATTACAAGCATGTACCAGGCTGCCCACTCTCAAGCAGCTTTGAGGACACGATCTCTCTCTGAGACTTTACCTCGAGGACAGTAGATGTCAGGAGCCCACCGATTGCATTCATAATTGTCTGCTGCTTTTTCACAGGTGAAACATTTAAATCCACCAGGATATGGAGTGGCTACAAAAACAAAAAAATAAAAAACAAGAGAAAAAAGCAATTTTTAGATTGAGCAAAGAATCCTGTAGAGTTAAGTGTATTAATTTGAAGAGGGATTTTCAAGATTTTTTTTAAACAATGAAGTATCTGATGACTCATTTTATGTTAGGCAATTTATTCCCGAGACACAAATACTTGTATTCATACACAAAAATCTGCTTACAACTATCTAAATGGTTTTATTTGAACAGGATGCCCACTCCTGATTAGAGAATATGAAATCTAAATTGCCTCCACATCTGAAATTCTTGAGCACTAACATTATACTCCCCACATTTCACACCTGATGTCATGTGACCAGTTATAGTATTGAAAAGGCTTCATTAAATTCCTCCAGGGACTGTAAAAAATTCCTCCAGGATATTTACAAGGCATATATGAAACGAATAAATGTGGCCTTTAAACTTTGGTCTCATCCCAAGATATTTTACTATATGCATACAGGTATTCCAAAAATCCCCAAACATTCAACACCCAAAATACCTCCAGTCCCATGCACTTCGGATACAGGATAGTCACCCTATAAATGAACCCAAGTTGTAAGCAACTCAAATGTCTATCAATAGGTGAGTGGGTTAAACAAACAGTGGTACATCCACACTATGAAGTAACAGGCACCAATAGAAAGGAACAAATTGGTAGTAGTTTCAATAGCTTTAATAAATTTTCTTGGAATTACTCAGTGGGGAAAAAAAAAGCCAATCAGAAAAGTTGCATGGTATATGGTTATATTTATATTATTACTTTACTATTTTTACATCTTTATATTTGTGTATGAATACATATATATGTGTGTGTGTATATATGTATGAATGCAGGTATATAAAGGCATGTATGTATTGTGTATGTGTGCCCATGTACCATAGCCTGCACATGGAGACAGAGGACAACCTGCAGGTATTGGATCTCTCCTTCCACCAAAGTGCCTTCCTGGAAACCAGAACTATGTGGTGAAGTTTGATGGCAGAACCACTTGCCTACTCACAGATATATGGGTGTATTTATGAAGAACTTTTGAAATGACAGAATTTGGAGTGGATTGCATGTGGGTGAGTGGTTGCCGGGTGTTACAACGCTAGGTGCCAATACTGTTTGAAGAAGAGCTGTCGTTTACACAACTCCAGCAATGTTCTCTGATCTTTCCCATCCTCTCACCATGCCTGGCTTGTGCTTCCTGCCTTCTGAAGACATTGTCCTGCATGTACTACTTGTTCTCAGTCCTGTTTGTAAGCTCATGTGAGAGTGTCAAATGGGAACCATGTTCTGGACGTGCTCAGTACACCAGAATATTCTGTCAGCTCGAGGCCAACAACTAATGTCAGGCCTTGGGGGCAGGGGGTGCTTCGGTTTTCTCATCCTTTGGCCCATGTGTTTTCAAGTAAGCCACATCTTACCTGGAATCCTTTGCTTGCCTTGAGATTTAGATCTCTGACTTTCATAAACAGATCCAGAGCATTTTTTAAATTGACAACACTACCTGGCCTAGTTGGAAGCTGTAGGCGCTTATCCAGTTCATCTGAGGGAGCCAACAGCTCTGCCTCACAGATGGTGGAGCCCGAGGTTCCCACTGACAGAGATAGTCATCTCAGGGTAAATTGCATGGCCAGGTGGAACCAATTAAGTGTGTTATCAAAAATAAATGCAGGAGGAGGCAGCAGCTTAAGGCCAGAATTATGGTCCAGATAAAACTTTGATTTTCACCTTGCCCATTTGCATACTTGCCTGCAATATTTCATAGACTGTGAGGATAGTACCTGAACATGGTCAGAAGCTGCGCACTGTCTAGCAAGGACACGCAACTGGACCTTTTCATGGGCCCTTTTGAGAGTCCTACGTTTCTCCCACTAGATAGTAACCCAGATTTGCAAATAGGTTAAAAGTAAGGGTATGGATAATCTCCTAAAATGACGGAAACAGCTTAGAGATGTTTTGGTCCCAGGAGGGAAGTGCACCACAGGAAAACATTCTACTGCATCATTTCAGGAAGGAGAAGAAAATATTTTCTGTGATGCACACACAGGTAATTAGCATAGCTTCCCCTTCTAGCACCTAGCAAAGTCTTCTCATATTTTAATTGTTGTTGGTGAGTAGAATTGAGGGAAATAAAAAAAGCAGAATCTCAAATCCCAAAGCCACTCAATGTCTTATGAACATTTAATAGTTTTGTATTCTACAAATATCACTGTGAGAAAACCTATACAACCATTCTAGGAAATTATATTGATTTGATACATTAAAAACAGTCTCACTACGAACTTCAGAATGTTTAACATATAAATCAAATATAAAAGATTTGATCAAAACACCAGCATTTTTTCAAACAATGATCATATATACCAAAGTTTGTGACTGGAAGCTAACTGTACCATTTCAGTCCATATGATTAACTCACTAGAATATCCAATTTTATCAGTCTGTCACTGTAGCCAAAACAAATGTGTTTGCTGGATTGCTGGTATAGTTATTCCTGGAAACTTTCCCATCAATGTGATAAATTAAAAACTTTGAATAATGACCACCCAACTGCACCAAGAATAAAGTTATTGAGAACCAAGCACAAATAAGTTGCTGTGTTCTCAAACTTGGGTTATTTAATCGACTTCTCAAAATGATCTTTTATGAGACTGATGACATATTAAATACTGTAGCTTCTTACATACCTAAACCCTCACACTGAAATTAACCCAAGGACACTGGAATTTGAGAAGTATGTGCTAGAACACTATGCAGCAAAAGACAGCTTTGCTTCAAACCATTTATACCTAAATAAGCTTATGAGTATGCATCACTGGTGACCAAACAAATACTCTCCATTTTGGTCAGTGTACACCCTGTGAAAGCCTAGGATCTGAGGAGACCAGCACAGGGTGTCAGAGCTCCTGCAACTGGAGTTACAAATGGTTCTGATGAGTTACAGATGGTTCTGTGGGTGCTGGGAACTGAATCTGGGTCCTATGAGAGAACAGCCAGTGTTCTGAACCACTCAGCTATCTCTGTAGGCCCTTGTTGGTCTTATTTTAAAACCTACAAATCCATATCTGTCTCCATTCTTAAGCACCATAGCTTAGTGTCCGTTTATGGGAATTTTTGTTGACATCTTGCCTGGGGATCAATGAATAGTGCTGATTCCTGGCAAATCTTTGCAAACATATTTGACTTTAAGTGACTATAGCACAATACCAAATAAATGGTTAAATTCTCCCCTCTGGAAATATTTAACCTGAATAAGGTCAACGGATGAACAACTCTCTCCAGTAACTTGTTAATTGATACTGCATCTGATAAAGAGTTTGTTTTTCTTTTAAGAGACAGGGAAAGAGGCTCCTAAGATGTGCTATTTTCTTCTTCATTACTTCAAAGCCTTACAGAGCGAGTGGGGAGCGGACTTCAGATCCTGGTGGCCCCAGCTGTGAATGAATCTAATTTGGCTCTTGATCACAGAGCTAATAAGCTTAGTACCCTGCATTTCAGGGCATAAGGCCTTGGTCCCTCTAGAGAGGCAGATTGTAAAGAAGAAGAAAAAAAAAAAGAAAAAAGAAAAAGAAACATTGGAGTGCCCAGTTACTTCCTGTAAGATAATCTGTCCATTAACTCTCCTGGTCAGCCATAGTTCAAGCTTCCATAATTCATCTGTTAGGCTTCAGAAAAGATTTACCCTTTGTTTCTGTCTCCTAGAACTTTTGCCTGGACAAAGACCTTCCTTCAGTCACTGGAAATGCAGTGAAAGCAGATGCTTCCAAATGTATGCTGATGTGCAGTGTCTGCTCTCTCCAATTCAGGTTCCACTGTTTTTAGAAAATAGAAATATAAATTCTAAAACTCTAATATTATCTTCTGTTTCAGTCAACTGAGCAACAAAATGTTGCTGATATTTTTTTCCATGAACATATTTCTAATAGAGTACACTTCCTGATACCTGTCTAGAAGTCCTCTTACTCTGTAGGATTTAATGAAGTGTAGGACTGTGCATAGTTATCCTCGGTTCCCTATGTGATCATAAGCAAGCCCCTGCAAGGGCATAGCTCTTTAATTCACAAGATTAAGAAGGGCTCAGAACACACATGCAAAAGAAAATTGGCTTGTTTTCCAGGAGTGTTTTCTATTCTACAGAAAGAAACGAAGGCCAAGAGCAGGGCACAGTCATTTTATTAAATTTTCTTGTGTGATTTCTGACATCTGAATAAATAGCTCCATTTCTCTCAATATTAACTTTTGTTTGGGGAATTGTAATTAGATTTTGGTGATTTAACCAGAGAATAGAAAGAGAAAACAGAACTTCTCACATGACGGTGATAATGATGAAGAAGAGGAGAGGAAGAGGAGGAAGAAGAAGAGGAGGAAGAAGAGGAAGAGGAGGAGGAAGCAGCTGGAGCACATAGTAATTATTGAACAGAATGTTCTGGAAGATGAATCTGAAATCCACAGTTTGTTTCTTACAATACTTGGAAACTTGAATGATTTGGAAACCAGAGAGCACTATAGATTAGTGAGGAGAGGCTGATTTTCTCAGTTATCATCAATGATGCTGTCTGGGCCTAAGAATAATGCGTTTGTTTGGCACAGAAAACGTGTGTGTTCTCAAGCTTCTCGCCCCTCTGTGCTCTTCCATGGGCAGATTCTGCGCTTGGCTATATAACATTAATAGAAACTGGCTCACTCACTGACCCAGAGAAAGCTGCTTGTACCTCCACCTACAAAGTGAGGCAATTGTATAAATAATTCAAAATCAAACTAATCCCATGTTCCCCTCATGTTTTTTTTATGGCCAATGTTCAACAGAAAGTTGCTTGACGGTAGAGAGAATACTCCATCTAAACACAAGTGAGGGCTCAAGGGCAGGGAACCATGGCTGTTTATAAAGCAGACGTGAAAACAAACATCCACAGCACACTTCCCGAGTAGTTTGGAGAAATGTAAAGTTAACTCTAACCCAACGTGGGCAGAATAGCAAAGTTTTACAGCCCAACAAGAATGCTCAGTGTCTGTGACCTGCTTACAATCTAGTTAGACACGACTTTTCAACCCTTTTCATGCTTCAAAATCATGTCAGAAAAACCCTTGAGTCTTACCTATTTAGTTAAAATAAGTCACATGAGTAGGATTTCCCAATTACCTTATTTTATTTTATTTTATTTTATTTTATTTTATTTTATTTTATTAGGAACAAGATGTTGCTATGTAGCCCATGCTGGCCTGAAACTCAGTAAGTAGCTCAAACTTTCCTGCCACAGTCTCTTGAGTGCCAGGATTATTGTCACATGCTACCCCACCTAGCTTCCCTTGACTCCTAAAGAGCAGAAGTGATTTCCCCTGTGACCTGTCAAAATTCATCCTTCAGAGACAGCAGTGGTATCAACTTTCCAAATTGGAGTGCACTCACCCCCGGCAGTGATTGACCACCCCACTGAGGAAAACGCAGAATATCTTGACCTGTGTACTTAAACCCATTCACTTCAATTTTCAACTCCTACTCTGTATATAGCCTCAGAAATGGCCATGGATGGATGAGTGTGGTATCTAAGTCTCTCACCAAAGCTGACAGAGAACATCAAAGAAGGCAGCACTGAGGCGCTCACTCCTGAAGGACTGAAACCTGGCTCTTTGTCTTACCATGGTTGGGGGAAAGAACAAAATGTAATCTAGTGAGCAGAGAAAGTTATCAGTATCTTCTCGTCATGGAAATTATTAAAACAGAGCCAAGAACTCCCACAAAATTGAACAGCCAGATAAATTTTCCATGCAAGTAATCAGTAGGCAGATGCCACCAGTGAGGACACAGGTGCAGTAGTCAGACTCTACCAGTGAGGGCACAGGTGCAGTAGGCAGACTCTACCAGTGAGATCACAGGTGGCCATAGGCAGATGCCACAGTCAAGGCACATGAGCAATAGGTAGGCTCCCCCAGTGAGGGCCCAGGTGCAAAACTCTACAACTGGCTGCCTGAATGATGACAGCGAAAGAACTACCCTGTCTATCGGGTACAGGTCTGTTGCTCCACAGGTATTATTTCTGGTCTATAAAATGATGCTATAGCATATGTATAATTTTACTGCCTTAGAAATAAACTGACAAACTGCCTGAGAACGTGCCACAGCTTATGCTCAGTACAAAGTTTCCTATGCACTATGTTACACAATAGTCACAAAGTCAGGGGATTTGTTTCAAGTCAGGAAGCTAGGAAACAGCTGACCTAGGCCCCTAGGTGGGCCACATGTCACCTCCCAAGCTATTAGAAGTCACCATTCTAGTACTGAGGGGCTGAGACATTCCAAGCAGGCTCCTCCTCTTTGCACATTGTATGATGGTCAAGAGAAAGAATCATTAGTTTGGTTGCCTGTGAAGTCTTCATGCCTATCACAATGCTTGTCACGCTACAGATATTTCAAAAGACTAACATACTTTGGGGAACAACTAAAGTCCAAGATACACACAATATTCTCAGCCCTTACCGCCACAAAGGCAATACTGAAGAGGACTGGGCCAAAAAACAAAAACAAGCAAACAAAAAAACCAAAACCAAAACAAACAAAAATCCTCAAGAGTACATAGCTGCATTGCCGGGGACCCAGGAAGTCACACGGCTGTTTGCCTAAGTATAATCTCTGGGGAATCCACAGCAGAACACCCCAGAATGCTTGCTGAAAGCACAAGGCACAAGTAAGACCCCTGATACATACAAAGCAGAAGCCAGAGGGCTGGAAACGACTGCTAGAAATCTGCGATATTGTGGACTCCCTGGAGCATTCAAAATCATGGGAAAGCCCAGGAAATAGGAAGTTGTGGAAGGCAGTGATGTTTTAACTGAGGCTAAGATGCCAGGGAGAAAGACCAGCTACTAATCAGGCTATAAAGGTCTAATCCCTTTACAAACAACCCACCTCCTGGGATGGGTCGGTTCCCTTTGATAGCTGGCTGAGAACAACACAGCAAAAGCGAGGGGTGTATGAAGTCAGCGGGATGTATTCAGGTACAGAGGAAACAACCCTCATCATTTAATGTAAGACAGAAACCAAACCTCCTGTGGGAAGGTGACAGTAAAACGCAAGGCAACCTTTATTACCTTCTACACCCCTAACTAAATCACCTGATGTTTCCCCTGCATTAACATTGCTTTCCCTACAGACATGCTCCAATTCCTTTCTCATCAGAAATGAAGCAACATCTTTTCTCCTTTTTTCCACAGACAAGAGAACAAGTAGAAAACAGTCTTACTTGAAGGGTGGAGGTAGATTATGTCTTTCACTGTGAAGTCTCGGGATTGAGCAGCTTTCAGACAGTCAGCCACCAGGCTCAGCAGCAGGAGCCAGGCCAGGGTGGGGCTAGGTTCCATGGCAGAATGGTATGTCACTCATACAGAGGGCCTCAGAGTGGGCACTTGAGACGGTGGTAGTGGACTGGCACCTGAAATACAAACGCAGACTCATCTCAGTATCCAACAGGAGACCGTGAAGGCAGCTTGGCTGATGTCAGGTAGGAGAGCGGATCGGGGAGGGACAACAGACTGGGCCTGAGGAAACAGGTGCCAAAGGGGACAACCTTATAAATGGTAATTTTAGAACACTCAGAACATTCCAGCCTGAATCTATTCTTAATCAGGCTGCTCCTTCTGGTAACAATCCTTCCTAATATCCCGCAGAGATAGTATCAAGAGATTGAATTTTAATGAAATCCAGCAATTTTTGCCAGGAGGCCAAGGGACATGTGCCAGAGAGCAACAATAAATAAGTCAGGTGCAAAGCTCAAAAGCTTTTCCTCAATAATGGTATGGGGTCAGCATCCTTTCTGAGTGCTGGCCACCATACCAACCTCTAGGAGCTAGACTCAGATTTGGAAAGAAATACAGGTAAGCTGACCTCTTCCAAAGCCCAGACCATCTCAGTAGCACAAAATTGCCTTAACATAACCAGCCAGCATTTATTGGTGAATACCGTGGAGGACATTTGCAAATATCAGTTTGTTCTAATAGCCCTATGAGGTTGCCACCCCAATTACCCCATTTGCCTTGAACGGCCCAAGCACAGAAGGGCAGAGCTGGCTTCTACTCACAGTGAAGCTTTCAATTCTGCATTTCAAACATCAGCAGATGCTGTACTCTGCCGACAAGCAGGGGGTTTGAGCTTGAATTGCTACTTAGCACTAAGCAGTCATCTATGGTCCTCCATTCTGGTTCTTGTTTGCTCGGAACTGGGAACAGTGAAGCCCTGTGTAGACTGTCCAACGCTCTCAGAATGTGGGGATTATTTCTTCACAAATGACTCCTTTGCCATATCCTTAGTTGTCTAGAAAGTCTGGGTCTCACATTCTGTGTTTCCAAATTCCATAGTCTCTCTTGCTCACTAATGGGAGTCGAGGTTAGGTATTTTCTTACTTCAACCAATTAAACACCAGCAGTTTGGACATTCTGTTTAGAGACTTAACATAAATATTCAACAAGATTTTTTAAGTTGCTTAAAATTTTAAGTTCCCCTATGGGGGAAAAAACTAAATAATGACCAAAATATTATGAAGGAGAAATTTAATGGAGAAAAAGCAATGTGGCCTATTCAGATATTAGAATGTATTATTAAATGATATCAATCTAAGCTGAAAGACAAAAAGTATACCGAAAGCCACAACTCTTCATAGGATATAAGGAGTTTTCAAAATGACAGATTGGACACAATCAGAGAACAGCACTATACTATAGTGTCCAAAGTGTGCAAAACATTAACTCAAATCAATATACTATAATTATTTACAAATGTTTTACATTTATTTGTTTGTTTTTCAAGACAGCGCTTCTCTGTATAGCCCTGGCTGTCCTGAAATTAGCTCTGTAGACCACGCTAGTCTGGAACTCAGAGATCCACCTGACTCTGCCCCCAGAGTGCTAGGATTAAAGGTGTGTGCCGCCACCCTCAGCTACGTTCACTTTTCAAAGTTGGCAAGCTGAATAGAATAAAATTCCCTCTAAAGAACAATGATCCAACCTTGCCAAGTCGGGGCTCAGCAGCCGCTCCCACTTTGCTTCCTGGAGCAAACTTGCATTCAGGATGACAACAGGCTGCTGGGTCATCTAATAAATGTGACAGGAAAACACTATATGGGGCACTTGGTTGAACAATGTAATGAGAAATGAAACAAGTGTCAGCGGTGGCCTTCTTGACTTGTAACAGTTCAGCTTCATCCTAGAAGAGTCAGCAACTCTCTCTCTCTCTCTCTCTCTCTCTCTCTCTCGCCATCTCTAGGTGAGTCAGGAAGGTGAAGCGGCATGGGTGTGGTGGAATATACATGGGGCGGGGGAACAGGTGTGCGCAGTGCACGCTGGAGACTTCTTTAACACGGCCCACACCTCTGCCTGTTTCCTTGACAGTCACGGAATGAAAATGGCTAGAATATTATGTTTGGAAACACAACCATGAACTCATAAACAGAGGCAGAAAACATAATATATCAACAACAGGGCCCAAGCCTTGGTGTTTGCTGGGGCTACCACAGCAAACAGCACAGGCTAGACAGATGGACTTTCAGTTCCAGACGTGTTCAGGGTCAAGATGTTAGCAGCTTTGGTACATCCTGTGGCCTTTCTCCCTGGCTACAGATGTCTACCTTCCCACTCTCCCCTCGTGGACATCTTACTCCTGTTTCTTGCTCCTATTCTTATGAGGATACCAGTCTCTTTTGAATTGGGGCTCCACATTTATGACTTTAATTCAGTCCTAGTCACCTCCTTAAAGCCTGTGTCTTCAAAGAGAACCACATTCTGAGGCACTTGGTGATGAGATTTTAACTTAAAATTTTGGGGAACCACATTCCAGCCCACCGTATCAGGTTTCTTTCATATTACACTTCCTGCCCCATGATATGGCATGGAGCTGTGTAAAGTTATAAACAGTGATATAGGATGCCCCAGAGAGATGTAAATGTATTCCTGCATTGTAGGGTCATGAGATCTTCTGGGCAAGAACTTCCTGTGACTGGCATTACTTCCTCTGGCTTATAACCTGGTTATAGAGGAGCCTTGGCTGCCACTGTGGTAAGATGAGGCATTTGCCTCAGACCATTTAATATTCCAGGGATGGTCTCCTGCCCTCGGATTACTGCCTTTGCTGGTTTGCCCTATGGTTTTCTATAAAAGATAAATGATAAACAAATAACAAAATATATATCTGCTAAAAAGGAAACTCAAACCCAGGTCTCACTACAGAATAAAACTCAACTTGAAGTCACAGAAGCTATGACCATGTCTACTGCATATCCCCAGATATGATTTGATAGGTATGGGGAGTATCTTGAGGGAATGTTTAAGTTTTTATACAATCAAGAAATCGGTCTTCATAACAAAACAGATGGTACAGAAAACTCAGTGTAAAACACAAAGTTAAATGGATGCAGGTCAAAAATATAAGGGTTATATATAACATCATATGTGATCCCTTTCATTCCTAACTCGATCTTCCACTGAAATTGCATGCAACAGCTTCTGCTCTCTGGTTAGGCTTCCATAACTCTTCTCCCTGCACCAAGTCACTTACTCATCATCTAACTGGTGTCTGCAGCTGTTGAAGTGCAGAACTCCAGAGTACCTCCCTGCTATGGGGCAAACACCCCAAAGTCTGAGACTGTTTTAGATTTTAATTTCAAAACTAGTAGTGATCAACAGATCAGTTATAGAATTAAAGGTGAACTCGCCCTACAATTTCTCTTTGTAGTTCCTGCCACCTTCTAAGCATCCTAGGAAACTGTGGAGAGCATTCCTTTCAAACTTCTCTAACTTCCTGTGCACTGAAAAATAATCTTTGCAAACACAAACAACAAGATGGCTATCTGTGGGGGTAGCTGAGTGTTGTACCCTCTCCCTAGATGTCCACACCACCACCCCCAGAAATTTGTGAGGGTAAAAAGAAACTTGTGATAAACTTAGGGTTCCTGAGGTGAGGATATCCAATTGGGATATCCAGGGAGAGGAGAGGAAACAGTAGTAGCAACTCCAAGAACTGGGTGCAGTGGGAGAAGAAATGCTCCAAATTCTAGAGCCTTAGAAGAACACAGAGCTGCTATATCACCTCTCAAAGCCCTGTGAAAGGAGCAGACATCCTCCATCTAAATTTCGGCCCCGTGATGGGTTTTGGTCTGCTGACATCCAGAACATAAAGGGTTTTTTTTATTTGTTATTTTAAGCCATTAAATTTGTAACAGTTAAAGCCAGCTATGGGAAACTAAAATGACTACTTTAAAAATCATTTTATACCACAATACATCACATAGAAATCTGTAGAAAATAAACGCAAAACTACATTTGTGATTGTCAATAAATCTTTTACGTTTTGCTTTCTAGATTTTTTTTTTAATGTCTATCAGGAAGGTATCATGTTGAACCATGCAAGACTGTCATTTTCAGAATTAAAAACACAGTCACATAGTAACAACTTCATACAGCTTAATTAATAGCTTCAACTGAGGACAGACTGAAACAAACAAAAAAAGTCAAACAGCCATTGGAACAGGGAATCTAACATTATGTGAAAACAAGTCATGTATTGTTAGTTCTATGTCCTTGTCTATCCGTTTTGCTTACACACGTCTCCTCGAGCACTAATATCGCCTACTAGCTTCAACCCTTGCTTGGCCCCAGCGCTCACACACCTGCTGAATGCTGCTCTTCACCAAGCCCTGGAAGCTCAACAGAGGGACCATGGCTCTCTCATGTCCTATTTAACAAGCTCAGCGACTTCTCAGAGTGCACTGTAAATCGACCAAGACTAATAGCATCTGTTATCTGTTCCAGGTTTAGTGAACTACTTGTGTGATTTTTGTGTGTGTGTACATGTCCATGTATGTATGTGTTCATGATTTGTGCATGTGGGTACATGTACTCAAGGAGGCCAGAGGATAACCTTGGGTATCATTTATCAAGAGTGATTCACTTTGTCTTTTTGGTTTGTTTTTGGTTTCTTTGAGACAGAGTCTTTCTCGCTAGCCTGGAACTTGCTAACTAGGTAGGCTAAGATGTCGGAGTGACTCACCTATCTCTGCCTCCCCAGAGCTGGGATTACAGATTGAACTTAGGTCCTCATGCATGTTAGGTAAGCATTTTACTGACCAGGCTATCAGCCCAGCCCTTTGTGTATTTAGTATAAACAGCCATAAACATGTACACATGTGCGTGTGTGCACATGCAAATGCAAATACAAACACACACACACACACACACACATGCGAGTACATTGCTTTTCTTTTGTTGTAGATGAAGAAGCTAAGCTCAAAAGGACAGCCATGTGCTCAAGATTAAACAACTGCTTTATGTGAGATTTGAAACTTTGTCTTTCAGCCCATGGAACTAAAATACCC